ACCCACTTGGGAATTAGCACTAGAAGAGTGCTAATTTGCTCATGGGTATCGGGGGAAGTGTCTGAAAGCAGGGTGAGAGCCTAGCAAGCAGCATTGTTCTCTCTTTGACCTCTCCCCCACATATAGTGCCACAGTGAAGGGAAGTGAGTTGCCCCACCTTGTGAATACCTAAGTCTTCACTCTTTGCAACATAACAGGTGCGCCAAGACAAAGAAATACGGCCCAAATGAAAGGACAGATCAAAACTCCAGAAAAAGAACTAAGCGACAAAGAGATAGCCAACGTATCAGATGCAGAGTTCGAAACACTGCTAATCAGGATATTTACAGAAATGACTGAGTACAGACACAAAATAGAGGAAGAAATGAAGGCTATACAAAGTGAAATAAAGACAAATATACAGGGAACCAACAATGAAGAAAAGGAAACCAGTACTCAAATACACTATTTGGAACAGAAGGAAGAAATAAACATTCAACCAGAACAGAATGAAGAGACAAGAATTCAAATAAATGAGGAGAGGCTTAGAAACCTCCAGGACAACTTTAAATGTTCCAGCATCTGAATCATAGGTGTGCCAGAAGGAGAAGAGGAAGACCAAGAAATTGAAAGCTTATTTGAAATAAATAATGAAGGAAAACCTCCCCAATCTAGTGAAGGAAATAGACATGCAAGTTCAGGAAGCTCAGAAAATCCCAAAGAAGATAGACCCAAGGAGGAACACACCAACACACATCACAATTACATTACCCAAGATTAAAGATAACAAAAGAATCTTAAAAGCAGCAAGAGAAAAGGAGACAGTTACCTACAAAGGAGTTCCCATAAGACTACCAGCTGATTTCTCAAAAAAAAAAAAAAAAAAATGCTGCAGGCAAGGAGGGGCTGGAAGGAAATATTCCAAGTCATGAAAGGCAAAGACCTACATCCAAGATTACTCTATTCAGCAAAGCTATCATTTGGAATGGAAGGGCAGAGTAAGTGCTTCCCAGATAGGGTCAAGTTAAAGGAGTTCACCATCACCAAGCCCTTATTATATGAAAAGTTAAAGGGACTTATCTAAGAAAAAGATCAAAAGTATAAACACTAAAATGATAACAAACTCATAACTACTAACAACTGAACCTTACAAAAACAAAAACAAACTAAGTAAACAACTAGAACAGGAACAGAATCAAAGAAATGTAGATCACATGGAGGGATGTCAGTGGGGAGGGGACAGGCAGAGGATGGGGGAAAAGGTAGTGGGAATGAGAAGTATAATTGGTAGGTACAAAATAGACAAGGGAAGGTTAAGAATAGTTTAGTAAATGAAGAAGCCAAAGAAGATATATGTCTGACCCATGGACATGAACTAAGGGAAGTAATGCTAGAAGGGGGTCGGGGGGGATGGGAGAGGGGGAGAAAAGGGAGAAAAAAATGGGACAACTGTAATAGCATAATCAATAAAATATAATTTAAAAATTAAATAAAAATAAAATAACATTACAATAACACATATCTACTAGAGTGATGAAAATTTTTAAAAAATCAAAACTGAATCTATTAAATGTTAATAAGAATTTGAAAGAACTGAAGCCCTCAGATATTGTTGGTGGGAAAAACGGTTTGGCAGTTTCTCCTGAAGTTAAATGTACAATTACCATAATACCCACTTCAAGGTATCTACTTACGAAAAATGAAAACATATGTCTACACAAATACTTGTATGTTAATGTTTATAGCCATGATATTCATAACAACTCAAATGCTTATCAGGTAGTTAATGGATAAACAAACTATGGTATAACCAAAGAATGAAATACTGCTCAGCCATTGAACAGAAAAAAGTAATAATATATTTAAAAACACAGATGGATCTCGATATTATTAAGTCATGTAAAATAAGCCAAAAACAAAAGATTTCATATTATATGATTCCATTTACATGACAAACTGCAGTGACTGAAATCAGATCAGTGGTAGCCAGGAACTGGGAATTAATTCACCAACACTGTTGCAGAACTTGTATTACATCATCTCTTATATTTAAATATCTAATATATTTGGAATTTATTCTGGTATTAGAAATGAATTCACTTTAGTTATTAACACTCACAATTTTTTTATGAAACATCACTACATGCCTATTAAAACAGCTGAAATTTTAAAACAGTGACAATCCTATATACTGGTTAGAATGTGGCAAAGTTGGATATATCAGAAATTGCTAGTGGGAGTATTAATTGGTACAGCCACACTGGAAAAGCTTGGCAGTTTATTAAATATGACTTTTCTTCTATACTTTCAGAAGTTCTTTTTATATTAAGGATAGTAACCTTTTGTTTTTCACATAGCATTCACACTCGTGGGCAGTTGTCCAGAAAAATGACTTAAGTCCACACAATCCAGGTCCAAAATGGAGTCACTTGTACTAATGCATAAACCTAGACTTAATACCTGACCTAATTGCAGTTTCAATTTTCTCCAGGAATGTAACCTTAATTGGTAAATTGGTAATTTTCTGGTCAATACCAATGAGGTGATCTCTCTTGTGGGTCTTCTTCATTTCTCAAAGGGAGCTGAGGCAATCCGTTTGATAAGTAACCCCCTTAAGGGGAAGACAACTTTGCCTGAAACACTCCTTTCTTTTCTTTTGCTAATAGCTTTCTAGCCACACCTATTTTCTGACTATAAAATCCTTCCATTTGTAGAGTTTCTGGATACTCTACACTATTGGATACGGTTCTGTGAGTAACTCTCTACTTGCTAGGTGGAATGCTGTCAGATTTGTGGTTGCTCAATAAAGCCAATTAGATATTCAAATTTACTCAGTTGAATTTTTGTTCTTTAACACTTTCATGATATTGCTTTCCTTGAAGAGTGCAGAGCAGTTGCTTTGTACAATGTCCTACAATTGAATTTGTCTATTTGTTCATGAGATTCAGGATAAATATTCTTGGCATTTTTGACAGGTGATGTGTTCTTTTCAAGTGCATCGGATCAGAAGGCACATATCCTCATTTTTTTTTTTTTGAAATCCCCATTTGAAGATATGTGTATTGATTTTTAGAGAAAGAGGAAGGGGGAGAGAGAGAGAGAGAAACATCCATCGGATTGCCTCTCACACAAAGCCACAACCAGGGATGGAACTGGTAACCTAGACATGTGCCCAGACCTGGAATTTAACCACAGCCTTTTGGTGTACAGGGTGAAGCTTAACCAACTGACCCACCTGACAGGACCAGACTTCCTTTTTAATATAACTCCATTAGTGGATTATTTTTAGACAAAAAAAATCCTTACTCATTTTATTTATTTTTAAGATTTTTATTTTTATTTATTTTTAAAGAGGGGGGAAGGAAGGAATAGGAGAGAAACATCAATGCGTGAGATACATTGATTGGTTGCCTCTTGCACACTCCCAACCGTGGACCTGGCAATTGAACCGGCAACCTTTTGGTTCCCAGGCCAGCACTCAATCCACTGAGCCACACCAGCCAGGGCCTCATTCATTTTAAATATAACATTACCTTTGGGTTAGTATATAACCTTTTTTTAAAAGCTCCATGGAAGGTGGGAGCATGGTGGCCGAGTGGGAAGGATATCGGAATGAGATCTGAGGTGTAGTGACAAGTTGTGGGTCCCTAGATACATTTCTTAAAATCTTAATATACTTAAAAAAAAAAAAAGATGGAGGATTGTGCCAGATGATTTCTAAAGATCCTTTGAATTCTAAAATTCTATAACTGTGAATCAAGTTGTAGTAGAGACACGCTAGATCAGGAATCAGGAAACCCAGTTTTGGTTACCAGTTTGGCCACATACCAGCTACCTGAACATGAACAAATACATTTAATCTCCCTAAGCCTCCCAGAACTTTACCTCACTGAGTCTGGAAAGATTTAGTGGGTTATTGCATGTCAGCGTGAACCATAAACCACAAAGAACTACCCAAATGTCAGGTTATAATGCCCAGTTTTTTCTTTTGATCTAATTAATCAATCAGAAAAAAGCATCATTAAGTGAGACAGATCTCATCAATTTAAATTTGAAAACCCGGAAAATGCCAGTATAGTTAATTGTGCGCCATACTCAGTTTATTTAATTTACAGTTTTATTCCATAAATGCTTATGCTTGGTGATTAATAATGCTGGCTAAAGTTAGAAATACGTACTCACTTTTGCGCAGGCCAGTCTCCCAGAAGAAGATTGTGGTTCTTGGGGTCCCAAGTTTGGGGAGGGCAAAACAGTGAACACAGTATATAAACATGGTAATGAAGTACTTATAAACTAACTTCCTCATTCAGTGATCATTTCGTGTTGAGCCATCAGATCCACCAGAGAGGATGGAAAATTGAGGCCAATGCACTGGAGAGTTGTCCTGTTCTTCAGTGAGCAGGGCAACCCTAGAATAAACTATGCCTCTTTGGGATGAAGACATGTTTTCTCCTGAGACAGCTACTAGAGCATGTCATCCAAGCCACCCCTACTGATATTCTTATAACGTTTATAGCCCTTTCCACTTTTCATATTCTTATAACCGCCCTAGGGTTTCTTTCCGGGCTTCCGTGTGGAACTCGGCAAACCTAGTTCATTAATGCACGCCGGCCACATGTTATAGATTATTCAGCAGAACTGATCAAGTATTTCCCTGGGAGAGGTTGAGGGCGCAGACACGCCCCTTCGTCTGCGTTGAGCAACGTGCGAACACTCTATGCCGTGTGTTGTGCCTAACACTGCTGTTGCTCAATACTGGAGATGTTGCCAGAAAATGGCTAACGCAGCTGTGCGGGAACGGCAACGAGGCGGAGGTTGTTGCGGTTGGACCAGCCCGACCTTCCAACACACGGAAGAGGACGCACTGCCCAGGTGGCCGCGGCCGGCTAGGCGGGAGCACGCCCAGCTCCTGTCCCGGGGACTCATGCCAGTGCGCACGCGCGCCCGTCATCCGGGTGCTGGCTGGGGTTGCAGGTTGCGCTGGGGTGGCGGAAAGGGGGCGGAGCCAGCGGCTCATTGTGCACAGCGCTGAGCGGCTCGGGCGGTCGCCCAGGCCTGGGTCGAAGCTGGCGCTGCTGCCGCCGCCCTGCAGCTCACTTGCTGCCTCGGCAGCGCGCTGCTCTTCTAAAATGGCTGCCGCTACCGGTGCTGTGGCAGCCTCGCCTGCCTCGGGTCAGGCTGAAGGTAAAAAGATCACCGATCTGCGGGTCATCGATCTTAAGTCCGAGCTGAAGCGGCGGAACTTAGACATCACCGGAGTCAAGACTGTGCTTATCTCCCGACTCAAGCAGGTGAGGCCCGGCGAGGTCCGGAAGAGGAGCTTAGGCCGCGCTTTGGAGCCCCACCTTGCGCCGCAGCCCCGGCTCTCCGCAGCCGCCGGGGCACGCGGGACAGGGCGGTGGGGAGGCTCCGGGCGGCGCCCGCGCTTGCGGAGTAGACGAGGACCCTCCCGCGGCGCCCCCGCCCTCGCGCACCGGGCAAGGCCTGCGACCCGCCCGCCACCGACCGGTGCAGCCGAGCGCGTCCCTACCTTCTCTGGGACGTCCCCGCCAGGCTGCGAGGGCTGCGGCCGGCCGGCGCGGCCTCCCAAGGGCGATTGTGGAGACCCGGGAAGCGCTCGGTCCCCAGCCTTTAGCGATGGTGAGCGCGTGCATTTCTTGACCTCGGAGGGGACTGGTTACTTTGGTGACTTCTGCGAAGTTACCGTTTTATTGTGCCCAACCGTTTCCTTCCCATCTTGGGAGGGGGGGATTGGTGGTGGAAGTTGATGGGTGGGTAAAAGAAAGGGTTAGTTTTCCGCTGGAATTTCAGTGTTTGCAATAATCTGCTTTTTCATCCCTGATTATCTTTCTGGTCTATTTGAGCGTTGGAATTGTAGTAGAGGAGAAGTAAGTTTGCATTATGGAAATCAGGAAAGCTCCCTTTAGTTTTTTATTATCGTAGCAAGCAACTTTTCTGCAATCGAGAATATTTAGACTTTTGTTCAGTATGATAATAATTTAATTATCTTGTCTCGGTAGAATTTAAAACTCCATGTGATTTTGATAGCTAATGGTATTTCTTCCTGAAAGTTTCTCTCACTAGGGTAGTTTAATTTCTGCTTTTGAAGTCGGTTTATGAAATGACTGGCAATTCTAATGTCTTGAGGCTTGAGGTTTGCTGATTTTTTTCGTTTCTTTTTAATAAAATAAGTTTAGATAGATTGTGTAGCATATTAACTTCTCTTTCTAATGTAGGCTATTGAAGAGGAAGGAGGCGATCCAGATAATATTGAATTAACTGTTTCAACTGATACTCCAAACAAGAAACCAACCAAAGGCAAAGGTTGTTATGAGTTATGAACATATTTTAAAATATATTTTGGTTATATAACTTGCCTCTGCTCTTGTGCCACTTGCCCTGTTTATATAGTGCTACTCTTTGCTATTTCCCTCTGGCACTCTGCCTTCATGGGTCAAGGAAGAAAAGTTACTGTTGCCAGGCTTTGGGTGACTTGAAGCCCTTAAGATTGGCTGAAGCTGACCTGAAAGTGAGACCAGTTCTTTTTTGCTTCTGAAAAAATTACATCAAGTTTCACTGATGTTTCTTCCTTCATACTGTGAAGACCTAAAGAATAAAATAACAGAATTTATACATATCTACCTTGCCCCACAATTGGCAGAGTATTGATGGAATTCCTACCAAATCTTTCACCTTGGCTCCTTGCTGTTTTCTCTAGTATATTAAAATTCTATAACCTTTATGTTTAGTATTTTGTTTGACTTGGTGAACTTAATTTGCATTTTTGCCATTACATTATACATTCTAATTTTCAGTGAAATTCAAAAAGATCTCACCAATCATACTAACAAAGTAGGGAAAAACTAGGATTAGTTAGCTTTTTTAAAAAAAGTTTTAATTTATAGGGATATCTTAAAGATTTTTATTTTAGAATTTTTCAACTAAGCCAGAATATATTTCAGATATGGTGATTTAGAGAATAGGTAAAAGTGGTTTTAAATTAACATTTTGGGACTTAGATTTTTTAAAAGGTTCTGGTAAGTGAAGTCTTTTACTTGATTACATAATTACAACTTTTTTCATCCATCCCATAAGGACAGTGGCAGAGGGCGAATATGGTGTGGGTGTCTAGATCCTCGATCCTGGAACCTAACTTAACTGCTTTAAGTGGTTCAGTTGCTACTCTGTCTGCCATAGACCAGACTGATTGTAGCTAGAGTAAAATGACTGAATGGATTTACTTTGAAAAGAAGGAAATACTACCGTGTGATTTTAAGCAATCTGTGTAGATGATAGGACCAGGCAGACGTTCATGCCCTTCCACTATTTGGGCCTTCATAGGTCGGTAAGAGTCCCCTATCTGTGCCAAAGGAAATTGAAAAGGGCTAATAAGAAACATTTTCTGGGTGGTATGGTGGGAATGGCAGAGGTGGAAATAGAGTTTAGAAGAGTAACAAGTTACTTTGAAGATCTGTAGCTTTTAATGTAACACTGACTCCATGTAGCACTTTGAGAGATACACATTTTCCCTGTGTTTAGAGAAGCTTGTTCTGAGGAATCTCTGCTGGCAAGCCAGAGGCTATTTCAAAATGAGGAAGCATAAACAATTTAGAAATAAGTACATCAGGAATCAACTATGTTTCTTATAGTAATTTCTTAGAGTGGTTTTGTCACTTATGTAGCACATTGTGATAGTTTGACAGATACTATGTATTAATCAGCCTCAAATTATTTGAGCTGATTTTTGATGTATCTAAAATAAATATACTTTGATATATTCACTCTCATCTACTTTTAATTTCTCTGTTTAGCCCACTTTGATATCATACCCATAGAAGTAAATTTAGCAATATAAAATTTTAAGTTTTTCAGTATAGATATAAAAGCAGCATGTTAATTTTTTTCTTTTATAGGAATTATAAGGATACTTGAACTTTAATTTTTCCATAACTCTGATGTTAAGGTGTCTTGTGTGGTCTTTAGTTAAAAGTTGTAACACTCAGTCATTTGTCTCTAGTAGGCTACTGCTGAGTACTTTCTGAGATTCATTCTGGGACATATATGATAAATAGCCTTTGTCTCCTTGAATTCCATTTATCATTGTTCTGAAAATTGTATGAATTGCAAAGAACATAATGTAAATCCCAAACTACAAACCTAGTTTGAGTTAATTTACAATTAAGATGCTTATAAGTAAAATTATGTGTAACTTTAAGAAATTTAAAAATAATTGTTAGAAATCAAATTTGAATAGGAAAACTTAAACTATTAATGATTAATGGATTTTGAAAACCAGGGATTCAAGAAATTAAATATTATTTTAATATGATGTCAAGTTGTCAGTCTGGTTGCCAAATTACTACATTAAGTACTTTTTGCCAAATCTTACTTCACTTAGCAATATCTACCTTGAAAATGTTGTCATCTTGGTGATTACACTTTTCCTTCAATAGGTCTGTTCCTTTGTTTTTGTAAAGTTGAACATTTTATTAATTTATCTGTAAGGCTCTTTTATAGTTCTGAAATTTAATAATTATGTATAGGTAAGAGCCAGAAGAAAAGTGAGTTTTGTTTAGCTAAACTAGATGGATAAGGAAAGAACAGGAAAATTTATAAGCTCTCAACTAGCATAGGATTGATTATTAGAAAAGGAAAAGAGCAAAGGAAGGGATTAATTACTTGGAGTCAGTCATGAAGACATCAGTAAGACATATAATTAAATAGCCTGTCAGGAAAAGAAATCTTTTGATAGAAGTTAAATGATGTTAAGAAAACAAGAGAGAGGCTTCATGAGTCTGGGAAAATTACTTAGGTAAAATATAAAGCACATTTTTAAAAAATAAATGCTGGTTCACTATTTCTTTAACATTGTGTGTGTGTGCGTGTGTGTGTTAAAATGATTACATTTAGACAGGTAGAGAAAGGAACCTGGATACTTTAGTATGTTGTACACTATTTTTAAAATACAGTTTTATAAGCAACAGACTTGTAAAGTTGATAATGCAGTAGGTTCTAATATTTATGATCAACATTTACAAAATCTGTTTGCATATATTAATATGGTGGAACAGTTCATCCCTTTGTGTGTACACCTGCGCCCATCGCCTTCTTAGTAAGAGTTTATTTGAGCCAAACTGACAACATATGCCAGGGAGCTAGATCTCAAATGCTCCAGGACTCCCTTCTGAGTCTTATACTCTCTTTACGATGAACTTTTAATAAGTAACCTAGAAGAAAGCTTCACCAGTGAGACTTACTATCATGTTATTTGGGTGTGTGTTAAGAAAGTGGTTAAACAGGTAGAGCTTACTCATTAGCTTGTTTTAGAGATTATAGATTTGAAGTTTCTTTTGGTTCATCTGACAGTGGCATATCATGTTCTTTAGGATTTTCAAACTTTAGAGTCACCTCTGACCTTCAGCTAAAGCTATTTTATGTGGTTAATCGGTACCATATTCAGAATTGTACAGGCTCCAGCAGAAATAAGGCTTGTTTTAAGTGTGGTTGGTAGAGTATGTGAATTTCTTGCATGAGATGGACAGCAATTTGAACATTTCACCTAAAACATCCTATGGTGTGCTTGAGTGTGATATTGTTATGTTACAGTTACATACTTAGGATTTTGTAGTAAAAAAGAGGTATTACTTGTGCCAGACCCTGTATATAATGCAGTACTTACTGAGGGTGACACTCATTTGCAATACACGCAGGCTTTAAAAAAGGTTCCGATTGCTATGTAAAATCTGATTTTTTTTCTCCTATAGAAAAAGTATAATTTAGGGTTATAGGTTTATCCAAACATCTGTCTGATTTTGTGTGAACAATACCACAGGCAGTATAATTAATTACATATGTATTATGTAAAGCTTTCTAAAACTTATATCAAATAAGAATCAACTGCATAAAATGCATTTAATATAATACATTATCATAGTATACCGTAACTCTTTTTTTGTTTTTTAAACTCTGTTGTGTTTGGATGTTAACGAAAATTTAATCAAAACTGTGACATGGACAAGGGCTTTGGGGACAGAATTGTTAGATATTTTTTGGGTACCCCCTAGGCTAGAAGCTTTGTGCAAGGATAAGGACATAATTTCATTGACACTAGTCTCTGTAATGCTCAGCACAGTGCTTGGTGCATAATAGGTGCTCAGAAATATATGTGGAATGATTACCGAGGGCCATATGATGGGTTTCTTAACAACTGCTTTTAAAAATAACTCTATTTGGGCTTATATAATTGCATACTTCTTTGTAGGAAGCCTGTGTACCAGAGATTAATAGTCTTTACTATCTTCTCAGCAGCACTAGTCGCTTCTCCTTAAACATTGTTATTTGTAAAGTATATTTACTTTCAGGACATGTAAATCATTGTACCATCCTTTGATTCTTCACCAAGCTCTTGACTGTCATGGAAAGCCTCATAACTTTTACTGGAATATTGTTCAGCCTCAGAGGTTGTGTATGTCATTTTTTTAAAAAAGATTTTATTTATTCATTCCAAAGGGGAAGGGAGAGAGAAGGATACGCAGAGAAATGTTGGGGTGTGAGAGAAATGTTGATTGGTTTCCTCTTGCACACACCCCCACTGGGGATCTCACACATCCCCACTGGAGATCAGGCCGCAACCAAGGCACGTGTCCTGACCGGGAATCAGACCGGCAACCTTTCCCTTGTAGGACACCCAGCCAACTGAGCTATACCTGTCAGGACATGTATGCCATTTTCATTTCACAAAGTCAGACCATTTTACCTCACAGCCATTAAAGCATGCCTTGTGCAGTTGTATATGGTGAATTATATTTATCATGAAAGCACTTTTGTACTTATTAACCTATTGTATCAAGTATGGTGTGTGTCAAAGTAGGTAATTTTTTGTTTACGTTTTGTTTTTTAGGTAAAATTTTGTAGTATTTTAAGACATTGTGCTTCTTCCAAGTCATTCGCCTTTTAGGCCTTCTGAATTAGGAGCAGAGGACTTCAGACTTTATGTAAAAAAAGTATGCATTGTCCAGGAATTAGAGGAAAAAGAAATCATTATTAGTTGGTGACATCAGAAATGACTTTAATGAAGAGGTTGAGCAATGGCTTAGGTTTTAATGGTGGAATTTACTGATTTATTTAATCAACCTTACTATAGTCCTCACATTCTACAATAAGAGGAACTCAGTATTGTGCAATTCCAGGAGTTAGTCTTACATGGCAGTCCTGTTACCCTGGAATAGTACTTTGCATTTGTCTCTACAATATTGTTTTCCAGATTATAGAAGTGAAATGTTTTCCTTTTAAAAATAAGATTAATCCTGGAAAGTACAAAAAAG